CCTGGTACTATCTAGATAGTACCCCGTACCATCTATTTCTCTCCGTGAAATAAATATATTTATTTAATAATAGTCAAGTAATCGATTATTTGAATCAAATAAATATTTTTTCAATGTAGCTTTCTTAATTTTCTTTTTATATCAATATTATCTTATTTTTAGCTATATATTGATAAATATTTGTTTACTTAAGATTAAGAAAAACTATTTTCATTTATCATCAAATCATTGTTTTCTTCTTCTCAAGTTTATTATTCTTGGAAAATTAAAACCATCTCACTAAAACTAATCATTTACAAGGTTATATAGTAACAATGTTTTTCTCCATTAGCATTACTGATAAGCCAAAGGTTTCAATTAAAATTTTATTAAATTTTTTAATTACGTTAATTGGATTTAATATTTCCAAAAATGATTTGAATCAGTTTTAATCGGATTTTTTAATTTTAGTGTTATATTTAATTCATCTGGAACAGCGATATATTTCATTAAAACAGCGAATGTTTTCGCTATTGTAGAGAAAAATATAGCTGTTCCAGATAAACATATTTTTTTTCCTGTAATTAAAATTTGTAACTATTAAAAAATTATATTATATATTAAATTTGTTAATTTTTGTATAATTTGAAAATTTTTAAATTACCGTAAATCACATTTAGAATTCCATATTTATAAATAATTTGCACAAATTTACCGGTTAAATTTTCTTTTTTTTTTAATGAATTACATAAACTTTAGTTTTCGACCTGTGACACGCAACATTAGCTTTAAATTGAACGATTATTTCACACGATTTGCGCTTCTCGCTGCAAAGAGTGATGAGGCACTGACTGACTCTTGAAGCGAAACAATCCGTATGTTGGGCAAACAATATATTTAATCTCTACAGAGTAGTAAAACATCTTTACAATGGCGTATCAAACACGGTGTTGATTAAAAAAAAAAACAATTCTATTCAGATGCATCTGCTCTTAAGGAAATAATAAAAAAAAATTTACGATTTTAAAAATTTATTGCTATACTCAAAAAAAGAAAATCCACTTTAATTATCTGAGAGGCTGTTTTCACCGTTTGGATAAATTTAATCCTTCGAGATATATTCTGCGTCTGCGCACAAAACTGCATACAAGAATTCTGCGCAGACGCAAAAGCAATAGATATTTTCTGCGCCTGCGCAGAAGCTGTATACTAGCATTCTGCGCAGACGCAAAAGCAATAGATATTTTCTGCGCCTGCGCAGAAGCTGTATACAAACATTCTACGCAGACGCAGAATATATCTAACTTCTCGAAAGATTAAATTTATCCCACAAGCTGTAAACGACCACGAATTTAATTTTTATCCAATTTTCTCTTTTCATTATTCTTAATTGATCCTATTTAGCAAATCATTTTTCCAACTTTCCTTTAATTTATAAACACCCAAACATTAAAAAGTATACGTATATATATGCTTTTATCATAAACGAAAAACACGACACATAAGCTTTATTACTGAATTGTCTATTTTTTAGGGGGAAAAAAAAATTTTTTTATCACTACACTTTTCTTTCTTTTTTTTTTTGTATCCTTGTGCAATTCAAAGGTTCTATCCGCGGTTCTCCTTCTCCCTCTTTCTCTCTATGAGTACCCCACTGGGGGATATAAACCTTCCTGTAAAGCGCGCGATATCGTGTACGCTCAAAGCCTCTTTGAATATTTAAAATCGTCTCCGCGATATACAAGGGATAAACTTTACGTTTCTTGGACAAGCTATCTTTTTGGCTTCCGTCCCTTAGGTCTTGGACGACGCGCGAAACTGGTCGTCGTCGTCCTCCAAAAGAAAAGACTTATCCAATTTTCCATTTCCCTTGTGTCCCGTATGTACCAAAGTGATTCCTTTTTTTTTTTTTTTTGACTCCTCGAATTTTAACATCTTACAACCAATCGCAACATTTTTATTTTCTTCTTTTTTTTCGAATAAATATTTGTCGTTTTTTTTTCCTTTGTTTTTTAAAGGTGCGGTACAGAAATAATTAATAAATAAACCCTACATTTGAAAATTTTGCACAATTCTACAAAAAATACAGTCAAAACTGTTTTACCGATTAATGGTAATGCAGATTCGACTGTTTTACCGATTGATGATAACATAAATTTTTTTTCACTGTTTTACCGATCAATGGTAATGCAGATTTGACTGTTTTACCGATTGATAATAACACAAATTTTTTTTTACTGTTTTACCGATCAATGGTAATGCAGATTTGACTGTTTTACCGATCAATGGTAATGCAGATTTGACTGTTTTACCGATCACTGGTAATTTTAGATTTGATTGTTGTACCGATTAATTGAGAAATCCTATCTTAAAACTATAATTTTTTCAAATTATTTATGTAAAATTTAAAATCATAAGATTTCTTATACCTATGAAAAGAAAAAATTATTTTCCTAAACATTTTTTTTTTCGTTATATTTACGATCTAAAATCACAGCCTAAAATGAAAGTTTCTTATATGGATCTGACGGAGAAGTATGAACACACACTACTCCCATGAAATGAGAAATTTAAACACGTGGAAATGCCCTAGAAAAATATATATATCACACGAAAGTGAAACCAAATGCTTCAGTACTGATATAGAGAAGCACTTATCGTCTTTCTCTCTCTCTCGCTACTGATAATATACGAGCGACGACTTCTTGAGTCGTTTCAAATACTTGAAAAAGAAGGGTGGGCACAGAATTGGATCCGTTCCATTGCACACGCGGTAAATGTTGAAATACGATTCTCTCAACTATAAACTAACACACACCGTATGCAGGCGAGATCTTGAGGCGCAGTTAAATTCAACGTCACACAAAGGGCCATGAGATCATAAAACGACACACCGTTAATGAAGTAATTAAATATACGCACTAGGCAACTAAGCTGATAAGAAATTCAGGTTATCGCCATGATAAACTTGACAATGTTATATCACCAATTTAAATACGTAAAATTCGCTTTATTTTGCAAATAATATTTTAATGTTAATTAAAATTTAATTATTTCAGAATGTCTAACAAATTAACAATATATAGAATAAATCCCTAAATTTTTCCATGACATTCTTAAAAGATTTTTCTGATATAATTATTAAATATTGTAACTTAATACATTTATCATTTATTACTCTATTTTTCCGTAAAATTAGAGCAGAAATTAAAATGGTTCTCGTTTTTCCTCTATTATTCAAACGAAAAACTATAGAGCAGAAAATAAAACGGGCGCCGTTTTTGCCATATTTTTTATGGAAATATATAGAACAAAAACGGCGGAATTTTATTTTCTGCTCTAGTTTTGTAGAAAAATAGAGCAGAAAATAAAATTTCTGTCGTTTTTGCTCTATTTTTCCGTAAAAGTAGAGCAGAAATTAAAATTCCGTCGTTTTTGTTTTATTTTTCCGTAAAAATATGGCAAAAGCGGCGCCATTTTAATTTCTGCTTGAGTTTTTCGTAGACATAAAGAAAAAACGGAGCCGTTTTAATTTCTTCTCTATTTTTTCCGTAAAACTATGACAGAAATAAAATTCGCGCCGTTTTTGTCATATTTATACGAAAAATTATAACAAAAACGACGCAATTTTATTTTCTGCTCTATTTTCCTTTAATTTTTAAGAAAAACCAAAGCAGAAATTAAAATAGCGCCATTTTTCATATTTTTACGGAAAAATAGAACAAAAACGGCGGCATTTTAATTTCTGCTCTAATTTTTGTAAAAATATGTAGTGCAGAAATTAAGGTGCCGAAGTTTTTGTATCAATTTTTCCGTAAAAATATGGCAAAAACGGAACCATTTTAATTTCTGCTCTAGTTTTGTAGAAAAATTGAGCAGAAAATAACATTTCTGTCATTTTTGCTCTATTTTTCCGTAAAACTAGAGCAGAAATTAAAATTTCGTCATTTTTGTTTTATTTTTCCGTAAAAATATGGCAAAAACGGCGCCATTTTAATTTCTTCTATACTTTTTTTGGTAAATTTAAGGCAGAAATAAAATTAGCGCCGTTTTTGTAAATATTTTTACGAATAAATACAGCAAAAACGTCGGCATTTTAATTTCTTCTCTAGTTTTACTCAAAAGTAGAGCAAAAAAATGAGCGATATTTTAATTTCTGCCTCATTTTTTACTAAAAACTAAAGTAGAAATTAAAATAACGTGGTTTTTGCTACTCTTTAACGAAAATTTATAGCAGAAATTAAAATGGTGACGTTTTTGCCCTACTGTTAGGGAAAAGTACGAGCAAAAACGAAGGGAATTTTATTTTTTTGCTCTACTTTTTCATAAAAATTGGGCAAAAATGTTGAAATTTTAATTTCTGCTCCACTTTTACGGAAAAATAGAGCAAAAACGGAGGAAATTTATAATTCTGCTCCGTTCCTCGGCTTATGTTTTGCATAAAAATAGGGCAAAAACGGCGCCATTTTAATTTCTGCTCTAATTTTTCGGTAAAAATATGGCAGAAATTAAATTAGCGCTGTTTCTGCCATATTTTTACGGGAAAGTAGATCAAGAACGTCGGAATTGTAATTTCTGCGTTACTTTTATTAAAAACTAAAGCAGAAATTAAAATTGTTCGGTTTTTTCTATATTTCTAAGAAAAACCAAAGCAGAAATTAAAATTGTTCGGTTTTTGCTATATTTCTAAGAAAAACCAAAGCAGAAATTAAAATAGCGCCGTTTTTGACATATTTTTACGGAAAACTAGAGAAAAAACGGTGCTATTTTATTTTATACTCTACTTTTTTTTGTATAAAATTCTGACAGATATTAAATTGGCGTCATTTTTGATATATTTTCCCATAAAATATAGAGCATAAACGTCGGTATTTTAATTTCTGTCTTTTTTCTTGAGTAGAAACGAAAGGAAAAATTAGAATGGCGCAGTTTTTGCAAATTTACATCCAAATGTTGTACTTGTGAATATTCAAAAAATGTTCGAATTAGAAAATTTAATGAAATTATTTCATTTGTTACAGTTTGGATAGAGGTCAACCATTCACATTCCAATTAGGTGCTGGTCAAGTTATCAAAGGTTGGGATCAAGGACTTGTTGACATGTGTGTCAGTGAAAAGCGCAAGTTAACTATACCACCGGAATTAGGCTACGGTGATAATGGTGCTGGCAACGTTATTCCTGGAGGTACATATTTGTGGTTTTTTTTTTAATTATTTAAAGAATTTATCATTAATTATGTTTAATATGAAATTATATAATTTTTTTAATTTAAAAAAAATTGTTTTAATTTCTTTTTCCCGTCAATATGATAATTGGGATTTAACCATTACTTTTGGGAATTTAATTTCCTCTTGTTTATAAATTCATGAAATGGCTGCCTCTCTTTTTCGAATTATCAAGGGGGGGAGGGGCTAATCTAAAATTATCTCTGAAATTGGATCTGTCGTTTAACAACAAATTTAGTGTGTGAATTTCGTTTTAGATTATACTAACAAAAGCGCCTACCGCAACATCGTTTGACCGCACACACACACCCCGCGATAATCGAGTACCCCAATCACATATTTTTCTCTTCTTTTCAAAAATCATTAATTAAGAATTTTTATTTTTAAGTATTTTTTATTGGAAATTATTTTTTTTCAAACAAATTTACAATTTTCAAATTAGAATTGAATAGAATTTATTTTTTTACACGAATTTTTACTTTAAAAAAATTTTAAACTAACGAATTTTTACCAGACTTTTTATTCTATAGTCATTTTCTTTAAATGACTTTTTATTTAAGAAAATTTTAATTTAATCCAATTTTAATTTAATTTAACAGAATTCTTATTCAATTGAATTTTATGTGATTCGAACTGATTCGAACTAAATGACAGAAATTCCAAGTCATCGAATTTTAAATTTATCCGAATTTTTATTTGTTCGAATTTTTAAGACGCCAAATTTTAATTTATCCGAATTTTTATTTGTTCGAATTTTTAAGACGCCAAATTTTAATTTATCCAAATTTTTAATTTATCCGAATTTTTATTTGTTCGAATTTTTAAGACGCCAAATTTTAATTTATCCGAATTTTTATTTGTTCGAATTTTTAAGACGCCAAATTTTAATTTATCCGAATTTTTATTTGTTCGAATTTTTAAGACGCCAAATTTTAATTTATCCAAATTTTTAATTTATCCGAATTTTTATTTGTTCGAATTTTTAAGACGCCAAATTTTAATTTATCCGAATTTTTAATTTATCCGAATTTTCAATTGTCCGAAATTACAAATGACCGAACAAACAATCGACAGAAAGATTTCGGCGCAATTTTTCAAAAATTCACCAATCATGATTTTTCTGATAATTTCTAATTGGTAAATTTTCAAAAATTTCACCCGAAATCTTTCTGTCGATTGTTTTTTCGGTTATTTGTAATTTCGGACAAATTGATATTTCCGCTATTTAAAAATTTGAATCACAAAATTCGATTGAATGAGAATTCTGCTAAATTAAAATTCGATTAAATGAAAATTCTTTTAAATTAAAAAAAAAGAGACCGTAAAATAAGAATTCTAACAAAAATTCGTTAGCTTAAAATTTTGTTAAGTAAAAATTCGTGTAAGAAAAAAATTCAGTTAAATACTTGAAAATTCGTGTAAAAAAATAATTATTTCTTATAAAATTCTTTAAAATGATGAGATAATGAAAATTCTTTTATTATAAATAAAAATTCGTTTGATATAAACATAATCCTATATAATTTTCCATTCTCCTAAGTAGCTGGTTATGTTTTTGTGTCATGAATTTCCCATATGACTTCCTGCTCCAATTACATAAATGATTTGTGCTTTCTTATGCAAATATAGAATCTCACCCCCTACGATTTTCTTATCAAATTTTGAATTAATGGAAATTAGTCACGTACAAATATAAGGACGAGTTGAAATTTAATGAAATTTGATTTTGTTTTTTCAACAATTAAATAAACACTCACTTTTGTGGATACAAAATTTCCGCGAACACAAGTCATTTTGCATTTAAATGATGAATAATTTAACATCATATTTCATTAGTGTTCGTGTAGTCCGCTACGGGACCATCCATAACCAATGTACATCTTTCTATATCTCTCTCTCTCTCTCTCTCACTGTTCGCGGCCAAGAGCAATTTGTTAGCCTTCGACAAGCATTGTTATATTTTGAGATTCTGCGTGTAGTGATGTACAATATTATTAATTGCTACAAGCTCTTCTAATCAACATTAAATACACTTATCAAATTATTGATCATTGCTTCGTAAAAAAAAAATTTCAAAAAAAACAATTTCCACTTTTTTTGTAAATTTTTTTTTTCAATTTAATTTTTCTATAGGGGAATAGTGTCAGGGTTGGACACAGTTTTGGTTTTTTGTTTATAAATATTTTGTTTATAAATATTTTGTTTAGATAAATTCAGTCAATTGTGGCATATGGGTGGAAAGATCTACAAAAGAGGAACACTTTTGCTGTGGACCGTAAATTGATTGGTCCAAAATTAAAAAAGTTATAAACATTTTAAAAAAAAAATCTAGTCAGGGTTGGACTTTTCAGTCAGGGTTGGAAACTTTTTGAAAATCGAAACGCATTATTGGTAAAAACGTAAAATAACATTTGTAATGTTTTTTATTCTTATTTTTTCATGTTTATCTTTACTTACTGTTTACAAATTGTAAAGCTTCATGGGTTTAAAAAAGGAATGAACTCAAATTACAAAAAATAACGCTATATTGTTCCATATAACTCAATGAAATGATGAACAAAAATTATACAATTTAAGTATTATTTTTCTAATATCTTTGGCACAATTTTGCACTGAAATATCAATAAAATAAAATTTATTTATAAATTGTGTCAAATTCATAATTAATATGGGTGTCCAACACTAACTGTATAAAGTGTCCAACCTTAACTAGAAGCATCATTTTCGAATTGTGCTAACCATAACCAGACATGTGTCGCGATTTGATTTTTCACTTTTTTTCTTCTTAAATTATGTACCCCACAATACATTCAATAAGCTTATCTTGCCGAATTCTTGCTTTTTTTTACACATTTTTTAGGTTTATTCACAAGTCAAACAAAACTTTTTTTGTCTCTTCGATTGCACCGAAGTCACAGGAGACGCTACTTTTGATTCTCCAAAAATGTAATGCCACAAAAAGTTAGGTTACACTACTAGAAGATTCGTCACGTACGCACACAGGTGGCGCTAGTGTTCTTATTTAAAAAAAGCCAAGTGTCCAACTCTGACACTATTCTTCTAGACTTTTTTTTATCTATACAAATGGATTTTGCTTTGTAAAAAAATTTACCCCTCAAAAAAATAACAATTTCCCAAAAAAACAATTTACTTTTTTGTAAATTTTTTTTTTAAATTCTTCTAGACTTTTTTTCTACACTAATCAATAGACTATTTTTTTTTTCTAGTGACAGTAAACGAAAAAAAATTTATTGTGTTTCAATCGGTCAGATTTTTAGCACCTCTGTTCAGATAAAAGCTTTGAAGTTTGCATGACAGCGTTTTATTCCCTCCGTAACGTATTATTAACAAAAGTTTTATTCATTTAAAACAATGGGGACAAATAGACAATTTTAGTTCTAACTAAAAAAAAAAGGAAAATAGAATTTAAAAATAAAATTTTTTAAATAAAATTGGAAAAAAAAATTTTTAATTAAAATTAAAATAAAAAATTATAATTTAGAAAATTAAAAAAATAAAAAGAAAATAAATTTTTTAAAAAAATTTAGAAAAAGAAAATTTAGAAAATAAAATTAAAAAACAAATTTTTTAATATAACAAAATTTCATCAATTGACATGATTTTGTTTCAGGTGCAACTTTGTATTTTGAGGTGGAACTAATTAATATTAGCGACACAACTCCAGTAGCAAATGTTTTTAAGGAAATTGATGCAGATGGTGACAATCAACTTTCCCGCGAGGAGGTGAGCGCAATGGCAAGATCTCTTTCTTTATTCATTTTTCTGGGGCATTTTGGTACTAAGGCTTCAAAATATACTAATAATCACTTATCAATGGCAACTTTTTGAAAAAAAAAAACTATAATCAAAAATTTAATTCACCTTTTTTTTATTCAAAACTTAATTTTGAAAATAATAACAAATATGTCTTGCAAAACAATTTACATAAAATTAAAAAAAAAATGTATTATAAATAATGGTATCAATTAATTATGGTTGCTTGTTTAAATTTATAATAAAAAAAAAAAATTAGTGCATGAATATATTTGCATGCGCACAAAATAATAATTTTGATAAATATTTAATAAAGAGCAATTGTATCTTTTTTTTTTTTTTGCAAGCTAAACAAATATTTTGACCTATATAAAAATTTCATTAAAAATAGTCTAAAAAAAATGATTCGATTTCAAATAAAAAATTAAAGGCATAATAAAATAAATATTAAATCAAGTATTAGTTAATCGAGTTTAAAAAATGAATAGTTAATATTTTCACTAATTATTCATTATTGTAATTTTATTATAAGAAAATATAAATTTTCGCAAATTAAATTAATTAGATAAATAAAATAATTACAATAAATTGAATATCGAGAGAAAAAATAAAAATGAAGCCTTCCAGAAAAATGAATAAAAATATTGTTATAAACAATTATAAACTTTTAATCTAATTTGCATTGAATAGAAAATAATTGTAATTTTTTCGAGTCTTATTAAAATTTCCAAGATACTAAATAACAATAAAAGAGGAAAATAAATTTTATTAATTTCTATTCTTTAATAATTCTATAAATATTTTATCTGTATGTAATCGATTAATCTCTTTTGGAACACGTTCTCAACATTTACTCTCAAGTTTCTTTCCTTTTTTTTGAGCTCAGTAATTCACAAATATCAATTACCTAAAGCGGATCGATATAATCTCTCAAAGATTATCTTGGGATTCACTAAAAACCACACACTTTTCATAGAGCATTAATTTCCACAATTTATACCATGATTCTAAAAAAATAATTAGTTATAGAATTTTCATTTTATTGAATTTTATTTATCATAATTATTTTTGAGCCCAATTTTTGTTTATTCAAATTAGTATAATTTGCAAGAATTTTCATAAAAAATTATTTTCTATATTATAAAATTTTTATATAACTGCAAAATTCACTTCACAGAATTTTTATTTGTTTAAAATTTTCAAAATTTAACTTAATAGGCATTTTAAAGAATTTTTATTTGCTAGAATTTCATTGCATAGAATTTTCTTTTTTATTTTTTCAAATGAATTTTCATTTATTCAAATTATTATTTGATATAATTTTCATATAACCAATTTTTCATACTACAGAATTTTTAACAGAAAAATTATTTTAACAAAATTTGTAATTTATAGAATTTTCATTTGTTCGAAATTGCAAATTATATCAAATAATAATTCGAACAAATGAAAATTCATCTAAAAGAATAAAATAAATATTCTATGCAATGAAATTCTACACAAATAAAAATTCTTTAAAATGCCTATTATGTTAAATTGAAAATTCGAGTAAATAAAAATTCTGTGAAGTGAATTTTGCGGTTATATAAAAATTCTATAATATAGAAAATAGTTTTCGATGAAAATTCTTTGCAAAATACTAATTCGAAAAAAATGAAAATTCGGATTAAAAATAATTATGACAAAAATAAAATTTCATTTTAACTATAATGATAATTTAGAACCATTTGATTCTAATTTTATCTCTAGAAAATAATTTCACAATTTTTTTTTGTTTTTTTCTTTTTTGAACAGGTGAGCAAATATCTTGAGAAGCAAATGGATGGTGCTAAAGGAACGAATCAAGAACAGGAAGAAGAAATGAAAAATATGTTAGCAAACAACGATAAACTCGTCGAGGAAATTTTCCAACATGAAGACAAGGACAAAAATGGCTTTATTTCGCACGAAGAATTCAGCGGGCCAAAGCACGATGAACTTTAAAAAGACTTTTTTTTTCTATTACCACTGAAACCTTTTGGATTTTTTTTTTATTATTCAGACACTAAAAAAAAAATGTCTGATACATCTTTTCCTATGGAACAGTGAAGAAGCTTTCCCTCGTGCAATAAAAGGGACATCAAGCACTTATTCATCTATATTTTTTTTTTGGAAATTATCTGCGTCAACATTATCGTTTTTTGTTTTAGATTTTTTTTTTTTTTTAAAGAGTAAAACGCATATTTTGATGCAGACAATGGACTCACTAGATAAATTTTCCTAGAGGCAGAACATCGAGCTATAAATTCAATATTAGTCAAAAGTGATTTTCATTTTTTTTTTTCGAAATAAATTTTATACGACTTGACGAAATATGATAAACTTGTATCAATATAATTGTGAAAGAGGAAAAATACAACCATTCCTACTCGTATGCAATAATTGATTAATATTATAAATTTACCATTTTTCATTTTTTTATATAGAAAAAAAAAAATACATCAAACTTTATTGTAAATAACGTTTTGTTTTTTTTTTTTTTTTTTTAAAACGATGTATGAAAGTTCAGATATTTCAGAGGAATAACTTAATATTAAGATTTGTCTATTAGTTAAAAATTAAAATTTATTAGATAGTTTCCTTTTTAAATCTGTTTTTCTTATATTTCTTTGCAGTTAAAAAACAAATTTTTTTCGAAATCTATATGTAATTTTATATGTAAAAAAAAAACGAATTTTTATAAACAAATTGCTGGTAATAAGAATTGCATTGTATAAAAACATTCCAATAGTCAAATTTAATCGCCGCACAATCCCCAATATTCTAAAAAAAAAATTTCGAGAATTCATTCTCTAAAGGGAGAAAAAAAAAATAGTGTTTTTTACATGAGTGGAAGATGAAATTTATAATAAACAAAAAAAAAGTGCTCTGTCAATTATTATATACAGCTTCAATATTTCATAGTCTCAATTTAACATTTTTTAAAAATCAAAATTCTGTATTTTCATTTGACCGTACTTAAAATAAAATTAAAAAAAAAAAAGTTTATTATATCGACGTCTTTTTCTAATATAGTTGCTATCATGAAATTATTATGTAATTGATAAGTTTTTATTACATTATATTGTATGTTGTTAAAGTTGGATAAAAAGTTAAAAAAAAATAAAAATAAATAAATTTGTGCATTTCAAGCACATTTTGTTAATAAAAGTATTTTGTATTTTTATTTCCCGTCCTATTTTCTATTTTTTTATATAATCATTTTATTTGAAAATTCAAAAAAAAAACTTATTTTCTAATAAATATAAAATTATAATTTAATATTTTTAAAATATAATTTCGCGAGCTTTAAATTGTAATAACAATATTTAAAAAAATTATATTTCTTACCTTAGGATGCAACCGATGAGAAAATTTTTCGGATGATGATAACACACACGCGATTTAAAAAAATTTCGAAACACTCCCGGAAGCACATTTTCAATTAAAAAAGAAACAAAAATAAAACTTTTTCTAAGCGATCGCGATTTTAAGAATTTCGAACACTCGCGAAAAAAAAATTTACTAAAATGACAAAAAAAAAAAAGAAAATTTAACACTAAAATTTTTTTTGTTTGCAAATTAAAATTTTCGAGCTATTCACTATTGAAATCTGAAAAAATTAAATAAAAAAACAATAAAGAAAATATAATTAAAACAGAATTATTTTTTTTTTTTTATAAAATTTTCACTTACGAAAATCACGTCCGAACAGGTCAATACACGAATTACAACTGATTTAATTATATTTGTATTCATTATCCACATTGTTATGACCTTAAGAGTTTTATATTATCCTTGAATGTAAACAGTTTCAGATCCAGGTAGAAAAATAATTTCACTCGCTCCGTGTCTTTCAAAATATTTTCAAAATTTAAATATTATTTCATTATCATTATTACTTAAATAATATTTAAAATTAATTTTTTTGTTTTTTGTTTCTCGTTTCTCTTTTATATTCAAATTTCAATTATAAATTAACACTAAGGCCTCAGTGGCAGCTCTCACCAAAAAAATTAGTTTATTGAGCGTCTTCATCACAGACCAATAATAGTTAACCAAAATAATTGAAATTAGAATTATTTTTAATTTTATTGAAAAACAAAACACAAAAAGAGATTTATTATTTTCAGAATAAAAAAAAACTTTCCTCCTTCCCCTTAAGGACAATCATCAAGAGATTTATCGCTCACCACAATTCCAATTGTTTCGTAATCAAAACAATAATTTATCGATTCACAAATTAAATAATTATACACATATCGCGAATATTCCGGGAAATTTTGATTAAACAACAAAATTGAAAAGTAATTTAATTACCTGAAACACCAAAAATGATAAAATCTTTTTTTTTTCTTAGACTTTTTTTGTAAATAGTGGAAATTAAAAATATTTATCATATTTAAAAAATGATAGAAAATGATCAATAATTATAATAATTTAGATAAATCCATGAATGAACCTGAAATAGAAAAAAAATGAACAACAAACAAATTATATATGCTTGAGAGATCTTTGCCATTCTTTATTTATTTATAACAATCACATTCTCGGAGTATACGATCATAATACAATCGTGCATTGTGACAAATAGATAAAGTATAGTTTAAATTATTTAAAGTGTATTTTTTTCAATTATTTTATCGTCACTATTGAAAATCGCTTATAAAGTGACAAAAAAAAAAAAAAAAAAAAATTTTTATCAATTTGAAAATTCGTTGTATATAATTGAAATAAAAATCTAACTACAATTTGAATAATGCAGCCTATTGCAATTTCTATAATTATTTTGCGTCTTAAATAATTTTTTAACGAGTTCTTTTATTTATTTTTTTTTATTGAATCAGGTTCTTTTTTTTTTGAGCTAATAATGGCCACTGCGTTTATAAACACATTTCTCTATAGAAGAAAATTTCTTACCGTATCTCGATAAAAATTTGTTTTTCTACAAAACAATTTCACTAAATATTTACAATATTAATTTTTTTGTAATAAACGGCAGTAATTTTTTTTTTCTGCTTGAGAAGGCACCCTAGTTCTTTTTTTTACATATAATTGAATTACAAAGTATTTATTATTTCTTGCCTTAAAAAATTTGGAGAAAAAAATTTTCATTTATATTTTCTCACATTTTATCGAAAATTTATTTTTCAGAAATTTTGTTATTCGATTTTTAGAGGAGGAATTTTTTTTCCCTCTTCTTTTAAAGATTTAATATTATTTTCATCTCAAAGCAGATCTATTGTTTTTATAATTAAATATAATAAAAACAATTTTTCAAAATGAGCGATTATTTAACTGTTTTCACTCATTAAAAAAAAAACAAAAAAAAAAAAAAAAAAAAATGACGGTACATTTGCGGCTTACATTTAATTCTCATATTAATCACAAAAAAACTTAAATCGAATGAGACGAACATTGAATCGCGATTTACGAATGGTTTATCTCCTTCAGCCTAAATAGTTATGACTCTAATATTAGCTTCGGTATTGACTTATCACCTTAAAAGATTCAGTCGAAGCTTCAATCGACTGTCATTATAATTGACAAACGATGTCAAATATAGAAGCACGGCGTAGGGACACCAAAAATGCAAATCAATAATATTAATAGAATTTCTTATTGGAAGTATAATTCGCTCTTAATAAAATTAATCAAGCATTTTAATTCATTAATTAATCAATTAAAAGTCTTTTAATTCTTTAATATTCAATTTTAATAAATAATTCTTATATCAAAATTCTAAATTGATTTTAAACACTGCTTGAAATTAAAATCAGATTTATTTATAAATATTTAAAAAAAATGTTTCTTTAAGTTTATCTCTTTTTGAAAAAAATACCCAAGACCGAATCAATTTAATTTTTCAATTATCTTCGGTTTTTTTTTCCATTCAGGTACATTTGATAATCACCAGATAATTAAAAGACTGAAACAGTCGCAAACATGACTTAACTTAATAAACAAAAAAAAGCTTTAACGGAAATCACTTTTAAAAGTAATTGTTCCGAGAATTATAAATATATATATATATATATAGAAAGCTAAAAACAAAACAGTCTTGCAGTTTTAATTATTTAATCATTGTCCTCAATGAATTTACAAACAAATGTTGAATTCAATTTAAAATATATAATTTAATTTAACAAATTAGCAAATTATTGAAAAAAAAAGATCAAAAAAATAATTTCTGATTTTATAAATTAATTATTAAAAACGGATTTTATCCAATGGGAAAACAAAAAAGATAGCATTTTATAATTTCATACCACGTTCTTGGTATCACTACGCATACATTTTTCATCATCCTTCATCTGTCAGACTTGTCGAATAAGATTTCGATCATTAAAAATGAACATTTAGATCAAAGTAGGAGGACGAATATATATATATATATATAGTCTTCGGGCAAGTTTTTATCACAGTCAATAGCCCTTTATATATGCGGCGATGTGCTTCTTTTCCTCTTCCGAAAGACCGTTCTTCAACGTTCTACGCACTGCAACAAAAACAATTCGCAAAAAAAAAAAAAATTAATTTTTTTATTATTTATCAAAAAAAAAAACAAACCATTACCACACTTCAAAATTAAAGCAAAATTAGAGAATTTGTTAATTAATCCTTATAAATAATAAAGAGTTAAGAAAAATAGAATTTAGAAATATTTGTAAATATTTTGTTCTCTCTAAAAAAAACTCAGTTCTCTAGAAAATAGAAAATAGTTAAAAAAAATTTTCCATACTTTATTTGAAAAAAAAATTACTCTGATTATTTAGAATAATTACTAAATGTATTTTGTTTTTTAGAATTTTTTTTTGATTTAAACAATTTTAATTGAAGGAAAAATTTAATTTAAAAATGTTTATCATAAAAAAGAATATTATCATAGCCATATACATCTTTCATCTTTTGAATTATAATATAAATTTAGTTGATGAAAGATGTCAGTATCCGCGAAATACATTCGAGGAACAAAGTGCTTAAACTAAAAACGAATCAAATTAAACTAGACGCTAAGAAATGCTCTACAATCTGGTTATAAGAGGTAACACAAGCATCGTCTGAGAAACAACAAACTGAAAACGGTCAATAAAATTATAAAATTTCAATTATTAAAGCGAATATTAATTTATTAAAGGGAATATATTTATTTATATAGAAATTTCAAAAAATAAAATCTAAAAAAGAAAAACAAATCAATAAATAAAATAAATAAAAAATTACTTTTAAAGAGTAATTTTTATTTATTGATTAAAAAGAAAAGAATTTCCAATAATAATTCACAAGTTAGAAATCCTTTTTTTTTTTTTTGTTAATTATGCAAAACGAATACACAAATAAAAGAAACGTCAAGCTTTGTCGAAAAATGAAAAAGAAAACCCCATGCAAATAGAGTTTACAGCCACCGAACCTTCTTTTACAGGAAGTAAAATTATCGGATCTCCTTCAGGGCCTATACCCTTCCGGCGTTGTGTTGTTCTCTCTAGTTCGCGATCGTTTCACTGTTGAACAGAAAAAAGGAAAGAAGGATAGGCTTCCCGTTAAAACCATCACCATTTTTTTTTTTTTTTTTTTTTTTTTTATCTGTTGTAAGTTTCGGAAAGAAATTCTATTTTAAAAATTCAATATTTTAATATGGGAAATATTTTCATAAAAAATTAAATAAACTTTATTGAAAATTCGATTAAATTTTCTATCCGAAGCTTTCATCAGTGGAAATTATCGCCACACCCTTGCTTTGAAGAGACTAAATTATAAATTAAAGAGAATTTAATAAAAGACCGATTTTCTAAAATAGAGAGAAAATTCACTCAATAAAAAAATAAAATATATTAAAAAGATAAAATTCAAAATACTCTTTTACATTAATTTCTAGAAAACAATGAAAGATATAAAAAAAGAAAATAATTAAACAACTTGTGGCTTTGCAATGTCTCAAGACAAGAAAAAAGATAATTTAAAAAGAATAAGTCTAATGAAAAAAGTCGCACTTATTTCTTAAAATCTGTAAAGTATTTTTTTTTATTTCCACTTTGACGCCATTTTTATCTCTCTACAGAGCAGCATCTTTTGTTTCATTACGACACTTCGCATAAGTTGAGCCTGCTTGAGTTAACCCCGTGTAATAACAAAAGGAACTCGACCTCGCGTGACGAACGAAAGTTAGTGAGGTACTTCCCATCTTTTTTTTTCTAGGCGATAAAAAATTTTCTTACAAAAAAAATTACCTTTTTTAAATATAAAAATTCTATTGTAATTTACAATGAAAAAAGGCATGCATCTCTATTTACTCTATTTACTCTATTTACCATTTATTTCTATGAAAAAAAAAAAAAGGGGGAGGATAATACGATTAGTCTGCGGTGCAGACTGGAAAGCTACCAAAAATTAAAAGAAGTGCAAATAAGGTGCGATAAAAGAGACCACAATGCAAGGAGGATTTTGAATTTTCACGTCTAAGTAGTAAACTTCGATTTTAGGCGACAGATGCGTTCTTATCCCTTCGTTCTCAGCCTTCTCACCCTTCACAAACTCAGAGGTTCTTAACTATCCTGAATACGGAACGCATGATTGTATTCTAAAAATCATTAGTTAGAATTTTCATTTGTCATAATTATTTTTGAACCGAATTTTTATTTATTCGAATTAGTATTTTGTAAAAAATGTCATAAAATCGATTTTCTATATAATAGAATTTTTACTTAACCGAAAAATCATCAAAATTTCATTCAGAATTTTCATTTATTCGAAATGAAGGAAAATTCAATAAAATGAAATTTCACTCAATAAAAATTCTTTATGCTTATTATATTAAATCAAAAATTCGAATAAATAAAAATTCTGTAATTATAGAAAATCGTTTTAATGAAAATTCTGCAAAATATTAATTCGAAAAAATAAAAATTCGTTTTAAAAATAATTATGACAAATATGAAATTCCATAAAATGAAAATTCTAACGATTTTTAGAACATAATCATGAGTCCACTGAATACGAAATTTAAACCGCAAGGCGTCGATAAATCTAATCAGTATTTTTTTTTAAATTCAACCTCTGCGTTGTAAAAATTTAAAAAATGAAATTCAATGGTGATCGAAGGAAGATCGAAAGGTAAAAACATGTGCAGGGTGCGGAGATTTCACTTACAAGACTTACGATCGGCGTGTCGGGTCCTTTTGCGTTCCCTCGGCGTTGCACGAGTTGTAGGTAACTTAGTGGCCGTTTTTACAAGACACTCGAGTAATTCGTCGTCTCCATCCGTTAAGTTTCCATTTGTTGTTTCATCCCTCAACAAAGGACCCAATGACGTACGACCTGAAACAAAAAAAAAGGATTATCCTCTCTGAAAATAAAAACAATAATTTAATATTTTTTTTCTATTGCTATTTCTTAATGAAATACTTGAAATTCTATACACATTTTCTTTTATTTCTTTTCAAATGTAATTTTGGTACTACACTTTTGTTTTTGATTTTCTGCCTTTGAATTTTCTTCTCTATTGTGGCTCGTGCCAATATGAGATGAGAATAAAGGAGACTTTTTTTTCAGTCTTGTTATATAAAAGGTACAAAACTGCGAGGGAAGGGAGAAAAGTTCAAAAGATGATAACAAAGTTTTGCCCTCAGGGTTCTGGAATATTAATTTTGAGAAAGATTCATCGATCCACATGAAAACAGAAACTATTTATACTTTAAAATCTTTAATAAATAAAAATAAAGTAATAATAAAAAAAAAAAATAAAACGATAATATTTGGATAAATGGATTTATAAAAAAAATTTCCTTCAATAAAAAACAGAAACTATTTATACTTTAAAATCTTTAATAAAAATAAAGTATAATAATAAAAAAAAATAAAACGATATATTATTTGGATAAATGGATTTATAAAAAAAATTTCTTTCAATAAAATTTTTTATAAAATTAATTTTTACTTTGCCAAAAAGAAAATACTTTGGAAAATTTTTTTTTGTCATTACTCATGTATATATGTCTCGCCGCAATCCTCATCTAATTCATTCGCATCTTTAAAAATGCGATATGTAGTGTGGGCTAGGAAAAACATGGGATATTTTATGTCATTTTTATGCTTCTGTATATGCTCGTTTAATTTACGAGCGCAACATATATATACAGCAAAGATGTTACTATATGGATAAAGACTTTATGTGTTAAAAAAAGGTATACACACTTGTTCCCTAGGATTGTACATAATTTTAAGAGGATATAAAAATTTTTACTAGTTTCGTATGAAAAAAAAAAAGAAAAAAAAAATTGAAATATACTTTGAAAAATTCATTTTCTATTGGAATTGAATGTCAACGGGCGTCATTTATATATTAAATTATAAAAAAAAGGTAAGAAACAGTTTAGAAAAAGAATTCAGTAAATTACAAAAAATATCAAAAGTAAAGTAAAATTAAAATCTATTTTTAGCTATATACGTAATAAATTTTTAATTAAATTTTCAAAAGAAATAAAATTGCAATTATTTTTGAACATTGTATTTTTGAAAATAAATTAAATTTTCAGACATTAAAAATAATTGTATTTTCAAAGAATTAAATTTTTGAATTAAAATTATTGAAGAGCGTTTAAAAGGAATTTCTTTTTAAAAAGCAAATCTTACCTTCTTTTCTCTGTCTCCTCCAGGGAAGTGTTCCATGTAAACTCTCAACATCGGAAATATCGCTACCAAGTAATTGCCTGAGTTCTGCATCGGCTCTATCTTCTTTCGTTCTAAATTTCCCAACCTGCAACAAATTTTTTTTTTTTTCTTTAATATTCAACGATCGACAGGGGAAAATTAAAGATTATTTACCTCAGTGATCATTTTGCCTCTTGTCTTATTTCTCTCTCTGTGATTGGCCTTTTTCTCTAGCTGTTGAATCACTCGCTCTCGCGTTGTTCTATACTCGAGGGCAAATTCAGAAACAATTCTACAAAATTCATTTGGTTTAGTGTCTTGTACACGATGCAATGGTATACCCAACCAAAGGACAAACTTGTGAAAACGATTTATAATTCGCCTATGAACAATACTTAGAACAATAATTCTTTCCGCGCAATCAGCAAGAAAATCCGACATTCTAGAAATGGAAAAAAAAAAGAAAAAAATATTACCCTTTTATAGAGATGTAGTAAAATTGGAAAATTTGAAGGAAAAAAAAAAACTTACTTGACTTTCATCATCGTGGATCCATCATGTTTGGCAATTAATTTTAAATGATCCCAAGACGCTTTACACTCGCTTTCTAGTTTGAAAATATTGGAAGCCAATTCGTCAAAGTCTATCTTTGAAGCTCTCGTGACAGCTCCAATCTATAATGTATAATATAGATTTTTTTTTAGAAATTAATTTTCACTTTAAAAAATTTTACATTTATTCCAGTTTTTTTTTTGTAATAAAATGCGAACCTCTGAATACAGATCTGTGGAATCGGGAAACTTTTCCATTACCATATGGCAAAGATGATGAAGCAAAGAGTGTTTGTGAACCGTATCCTTGACTTCAGGTACTTTTGTAAGATACTCTAACTGAAATCCTTTCACCTAAAGTGCATTATTCCATTTTATTAATTTCTCATTTAAAAAAAAACAAAAAATTGCATTAATTTTGATACAAAACGATAGCATTTTTTGTAAATCCTCTATCAAGATAGATTATACAAATATAATTTTTGTGGACTTTCAATACCCACCTCATTTCCGTTGAGGAATATCCCGATTGAAAGAAGCGTGCTCAGAATTCCGCGAAAAGTTTTATTCACTCTCAATGTCTCCATTCCCTGCTTCAAATCCATCAAAGGATCAGCAATTTCCTATAAGTCACAAATGTCAGCCTTTTTTTTTTTGCCAATTTCGTGTTTTCTTAGCATTCCATAAAATTTTACATTCTTATCACATATTTTTTGTATCTAATTTTCACTCGAAAAATTTTTTGATAACAATTTTTGTAATTTCTTTATTGAAATATTCATAACGCGTTTTTCTCTATGATATGAAATTATGTCACATTCAAATTTCATTTATCATTTCTTCATTATAATTTACTAGCAAAAATTAAACGCGCGCCAAATTGAGTATTTAATTGTTTTTTATAAAGAAATTAAAGATTAATATTATCAATAATAATTTGTATTTATTAGAATATTATTACATATTAAATGATAATAATGAAAATTATACAGGCCTCGGATTATACGACTTTTATCGACTTATTTTAATAAAATGCGACATTTTTTTTTTACATTTGAAAAAAAAATGTAAATAAAATACAGTTTTTTAGTATAAAATGTAGATCTTCTTCAGATCTTCTTCAATTCAATTATTTAACAAATTTTGAACTAAAATGATTCTTCACTAAATTAATTATTTTTAATAATTTTAATGAAATACATCACAAATTCAATTGTATCAAAATTATTTTTCAATTAAAATTTTTATGAAATTTAACAATTGTTTATAATTTAAAAAAAATATATATATCACAAAATTGAATTATTTTTTAAAAATTTCAATTCAAAATAAACTGAAATTCAATTATTACCCGAAATTTTAATTCAAAATCAATTAAAAATCCAATAATTATCTACAATTTTCAATTTAAAATTTAATTATTTAACAAGTTTTCAATTTAAAATAAAATAAAATTCGATTATTTTCTAAAATTTCTATTCAAAATTAATTATTTAAATTTTCAATCAAAAATGAACTTAAATTAAATTATTAACCAAAATTTCAAGTAAAATTCAATTATTTCCCAAAATTTTCAATTCAAAATCAATTAAAATTCAATTATTTTAAAAAATTTTAATTGAAATTCAATTATTTTCCAAAATTTCAATTGAAAATTAACTAAAATTCAATTATTTTCCAAAATTTCAATTGAAAATTAACTAAAATTCAATTATTTTCCAAAATTTCAATTGAAAATTAACTAAAATTCAATTATTTTCCAAAATTTCAATTGAAAATTAACTAAAATTCAATTATTTTCCAAAATTTCAATTGAAAATTAACTAAAATTCAATTATTTTCCAAAATTTCAATTGAAAATTAACTAAAATTCAATTATTTTCCAAAATTTCAATTGAAAATTAACTAAAATTCAATTATTTTCCAAAATTTCAATTGAAAATTAACTAAAATTCAATTATTTTTCAAAATTTCAATTGAAAATTAACTAAAATTCAATTATTTTCCAAAATTTCAATTGAAAATTAACTAAAATTCAATTATTTTCCAAAATTTAAATTCAAAATCAACTAAAATTCAATAATTTTCCAAAATTACAATTGAAATTCAATTATTTTCAAAATTTGCAATTTAAAATAAACTAAAATTCAATTATTTTCAAAATTTTCAATCCAAAATCAAGTAAAATTCAATTACTTTCAAAAGTTTCAATTTAATATTAATTGAAATTCAATTATTTTCCAAAATTTAAATTCAAAATCAATTAAAATTCAATTATTTTGAAAAATTTTAATTGAAATTCAATTATTTTCTAAAATTTCTATTCAAAATTAATTATTCAAATTTCCAATCAAAAATGAACTTAAATTAAATTATTAACCAAAATTTCAATTAAAATTCAATTATTTCCCAAAATTTTCAATTCAAAATGAACTGAAATTCAATTATTTTCCAAATTTAAAATCAAATAAAATTTCATTATTCTCAAAAATTTGAATTCAAAATTAATTGAATTTTCAATAATTTGAATTTAAAAGCATCTAAAATTTAATTATTTCTAAAATTTTCCATCGAAATTTTTTTTTTTTTTAAATTTAATAATTTCAATTATAACTCTAAGGAAATTCAATTATTTTTAACTATTTTAATAATATTCTTTGAAAATTCAACTATCTGAAACCATTTTTTAATTAAAAATGATTTTCAAATTATTGTATTTTGTCCGCATTTTCTAATAAATTTTTAGTGAAATCATCTAAAATTTTAATTACAAAACACTTAAAGTTTCAATTAATTTAAAAAATCTCAATTTTAAATCTTTGAAAATTCAATTAACTTTAAAAAATATTTTCCCAAAAATTGTTTGATAAATTATTTTTAGTTCTGTAAAATTTAATAATTGTTTGAAAATTAACAATATCTTTTGAAATTTAATTATTTCTAAAAATTTCAACTTTAACCCTTCGAAAAGGATTATTATTAAAAAAAAATTTTTTTATTTAAAAATCTGTAAAATATTTTTGTTAAAATAAAAAACAAATCCACTTTTTTTTTGGAATATAAATCGACTAAAACGACTTTTTTGTGTCTTTAAGTTGATTCGAGGCCTGTGTTTTTATAATTAATATTTAATAGATAATCGTTGGCCCCTGGTACCTTAAAAATTAATTTTTAAAAATAAATTTTTTTCAAATTACTATCTTGTACGAAAATTCCTGGCGCATCTTTTTTCTCATCATAAATTTTTTGTACAATTTTTGAATCAATATACAACTTTTTCAAATTTGGAATTTTAAAGAAACTTATTCCGAAATTTGCAAACACAATTATACAACTTTGGCAAAAATGAGAAAAAGAATTGTCAAAATTTGACACGTCATAATATAATTGTAAAATAAAATCTAATATAAAAAAAAATGAAATATAAATTTTTTCAAAACAAACCTTTTCCGAATTTTCAAAATCGAGTTTAAAGGCCCATAATTTCAGTCTTGCGGGCAATTCAGAAATAGATGCTAAAGTAAGAAGGAACTGCTCGGCAGATCCTAGAGGAAGATCTGGATTGGCGGCCTGCGCCTCTTGTATTCTCGATCTTTCCTCTTCGGTTGGTAACATTGTAAGTAGCTTTTCAATGCCCTCTCGATTCATAATTGTAGCGTCCATTTTTAAAATAGCAGTCTTTATTGATCTTGGAGGTGGTAATTTTGTCATTCCAATATTAATTGCATTCGATCTCTTGTGATCCAATACAATAATCTCTTTATTTTTATTCATTTCCTGTTGTTTCTAATTTCAAAAATTAAAGTAAAAATTCAATTTCAAAATAATAATTCATATTCTAAATTAAAGGCGCATTATACAAAAGCAAATTTTTCACATTTAAGATTATTCTAAATTATCGAATGAAAATTTAATAAGCAAAATGGATTCTCTAATAATTGCATCATAATTTATTTAAACATGCATAAAAAAAAAAAATGTATAGTGCATTGAATTTTTAGAAAATATAATGTTAGTCGCAGTAAAAAGTTAAGATATGAAAACTCACCTCCTGTATAAAATTCCAGCATGCCATTTATTTTATTTTTTTTTTTTTTTTTTGTTGATTACGTGCGAGCACCAAAAAGTAATGCAAAGAATACAAAAAAAGAAAATTAGTCATTTTGCCAGTTAACCATCACCATCTAATCACCATTTTAGTCGATTATAGTAATTAAATATAAATTATTTATAATACTAATTTAGATTTCATTGCTGTAATTACAATAAAGACCGCAGTAATTCAAAACAGTGGTAATAGTATCTCATTAATATAACTATTATTGCGATTAATATGACTCTCGTGACCGCAAATTGCATTTAGCAATCAATTTACCTATGTGGTTATTTATGAACCGCATGACCATTATTCCCTTTTCCAAAATGTAGTGAGACACGCACAAATGAATATTTGAAAAAAAAATACATTATCAACGATAATAATAGGCTAAAAATCTATAATTTTTTTTACCCATATAAAATATTTATATTTTTAATTTTATTTTAATTTTAATTTTAATTTTATTGTATGGCAAAAATATTTTAAATTCCAAAATAACTATAATTTTATTCAAATTAATATTTTGTTGAAATTGATTTTTGTTACCAAAAAAAAAAAAAAAAAAAGTGAACCACTATTTATTTATACGTATTGTGTGTCGGTAAAATAAAAAACATAAAAACGCTTTTCAAAGTAAATGTGCATTAAATTTATGACGAAAATACCAAAGAGTAAAAAGAGATCATCCCCTTTATATATATATATATATAGTCATCGCTGATGCGTGGCTCGTCTAACAAGCAATGTACCTTTGTATGTTCAGGCTTCTGAGAGGCAATGCAACTCATACTATGATGGAATTTCCGCGCAATAAAACATTTCATCGCTTCACACATTTCTATTGTGAAACGAAATTTGAATATTTTTATTTTTTTTTTTTTCACCACTGTTGCATATAGTTTCCAAGACAAAAGAGAGAACATTTTTCTTTCAGTGATATTCAATTTTTATATCAAAATGTATGAACAAATTAAGTTCATTTTTTTTGGAAAATTTTTTGCGAAAAAAAAAAAATATTTCACGATAGTACAAATCAAAAATTGTTTTTTAATTAGTTTATTTTTTTTGTTAAATATAACAAATTATGTTAGTTTTTAATTGATTCAGGCTTCGAAGTGTATAGTTAGATTATTAAAAAATGAAAAGTATTCATAAAATTCAAAAAAAAAGTTTTAAAAATGTATCATGCTTAAAGTAAAATAAAATTAAAATCTATTTTTTAGCTATATACTTAATAAATTTTTAATTGAATTTTCAAAAGAAATAAAATTGCAATTATTTTTGAACATTGTATTTTTGAAAATGATTGTATTTTTGGAGTATTTTTATTTTATTTTTATTTATTTATTTAATGAAAAAAATTATTAAAGAGCGTTTAATTTTACAATTTTTAGAAAGTAATTCAAGTCTGAAAGATGGTAAATTGATATTTTTGAAAATAATTAAATTTTCGAAGAAAATTTTGAAATTTTTTTTGAAATTTTTATGAATAATTAAATTTTTCATGAGATTTAATTGAAATTATTCTAAATATTATTGAATCATCAAAAACTTTTAATTGGAACTTTTGAAAATTTAGTTTTTAATGAGCTGAACTTTAAATTTTTTAAAAATAATAAAATTGAATTTTTTAATTTTAATTCATCAATTTTTGAAAATAATTGAATAATCAATGATCTTTAATTAAAAATTTTTTAATTAATTTAACATTCTTAGAATTAGAATTGAGATTATTGTTTTCAAATTAATTTCACAATCTAAAAATTATAGTTGAGATTTTTGAAAATAATTGAATTTCCAAAGACATTGATTGAAATGTTTTTTTTAAATAATGGAATTTTTAAAGAAATTTAATTTAAAGTTTTTCAAAGCAATTGAGTTTTCAAAAAATTGAGAAATTTTGTGAAAATAATTGAATTTTTACATGTATTTTTGAAATTAACTAAAATTAAGGAATATTTATTACAAATTTTGACGAAAAATTTAATGGAAATTTTTTCAAAAATATTTGAATCTTAAAGTATTTTAATATTTATTTTTTAAAATAATGTAATTTTCAAAGAATTTTAATTGAAGATTTGAAAATTATTGGATTTTTCAAGAATTTGAATGTAAATTTTTGAAGATAATTGAATTTTTGATGATTTAAATGAAAATGTTGGAAATAATTGAATTTCCAAAAATTTTAATTTTAAGTATTTAAAATAATTAAACTATTAAGAAATTAATATTTTTAGAAAAATTTATTTTTTTAAAGAATTTCGTTTTTTCTTCAATTCAACATTCTAAGAATTACAATTAAAATTGTTGTTTTTAAATTAATTTCACAATCTAAAACTTATAGTTGAGATTTTTGAAAATAAATTAAATAATAAAGACATTGATTTGAAAATTTTTTAAATAATCAAATTTTTAAAGAAATTTCTAATGATTTAAATGAAAATATTGGAAATAATTAAATTTCAAACAAAAAATTTAATTTAAATATTTAAAATAATTGAACTATTAAGAAATGAATATTTTTACAAAAATATAATTTTTGAAGGATTTTTAATTTTTTAAATAATTGAATTAGGAGAATTCGTCTAAATAACTGTGAAAAGTTTTATCTTAATTAATTAATAATCAAATTAATACACTTAGAAACTATACAATTCTGATATTTTTTAAAAAAATAGAATTTAGTAGCTTCTGGTCAAATTTAGTATTAAAAATGTAGCTCCACCCAAAAAAAGTATCAAAAAAGTACAAAAGTGTCGTACTTCGAAGCCTGTTATTAGAGTTGAATGATCATTTTTTACTTTTATTTGAATAACAGAGAAAATTATTGTTTCTTAAAAAGAGATAATCGTTTTTGACAAAACTGTCACACCTTAATTGTATATCGTGGAATTAATTTAAAAATTAGTGTATTTAATTTGTCTCATTATTTACGATAGTTTGCATGAAAGTTGTGTTTTAGTGTCATTAAAGCGTGTTAATTATTGTTGTGGACGCGTGTCCATATATACCTTAATACCAATATATCAACAACAAAAAAAAAAAGAAACAACAAAATTTTTCCTTACCTTTGTAATTAAATCCTTTGCTCTACTTTCAAAAAGATGCTCCAATTTTTGTGTATCAACAGGAATTGGCGAAAGTTCATCCCATATCATTTTATTTTGATCGAGCCTCGAAAGAATAATAGGATCATCTCTTACCTCCTTCCAAAAAAGTTTAACAGTTTTTTTATTTTTTTTATTCAAATTTGGAGGAGGACTTTTTGGTGAATTATTAGACTCAGTGGTGTGGGTTCGTATTGAACGAAGATTAACATCAAATAACGGTGGTGGACCACCACTTGGAAGGGGTGGCGGTATTCGAGCACCGGGTGGCGGCGGTGGAGGTGCTCGATAACCCGCGGGAGGTGGAACCATTGGAGGCGGTGGCGGTGGCACTCCATTTGACACATTCACAGGACCAAGAACATCGATTTCATCATCTGTATTGAGATCCGTAAAATCTAAATCACATAGACAAAGTGGCCTTTTTAATTTATTTATCAATTCCTCCCAATGAAGTTCGTTCTCTGATTTTTTAACTTCCGCTAATTTTGGTAAATTATCATTTGTCGGCGATTTCACAATATCGGCTTTTGATTTTGATTTTGCCAATCCTTCCTTTGCTTTTGATATTAAACCACTCATGTCACCAATTCTGGAAATCAAAAAAAAATTAAAATCATTCAATTAATGAAAAGAAATAAAAGTTCTTTGTTTAAAATAGCGTTAATAATTTCTCCATTATTTACCTGGAAACTTTTTCCTCTACAGGACTACTTGGAATTAAATTTTGTGCCGCAAGTTTCTGCGTTAAATCTTTCACGGTGCCTTCTCTTTTCAATTGCAAAACTACTCGACGATCTTGATCATCGTCAGACTGGTTACCATCGTCGCATTCAACTCCTTCGTCGGGACTTCTTCCATACCATGGTTTCTTTTCCTCGGAATTTAATTTATTAGCCGCATTCATTAATGGCGTTAAATCCTTTCTACTGTTTACCCTTGATAATTTATTGGATGTTGAATCGACATTTCTATCGTAAGATGAGCCATTTGTATAGCGCAATCCATTTGTTGTGAAAGGACCTAAAAATTCATTTATTTAATTATCTTTTTTTTTCAAAGAGGAATTTATTTTTGCGAAAACAAAAAAAGGAAGAAAATGACTTACTTTCTTGATCACCCGGGTGTCCAATGGAAGCTCTCATGTTTGCTGTTGCCTCCTGTTGCTCTCTGATAAAACTTTTTTGTCTTTCAGCTCTCTCCCTTCGTCTTCTTAGGGCAGGAGTTACACCAACATCTACTTAAGACAAAAAAAAAATAATACATTTCATTTAATATATTTTTCTTTTTTCCCCATTTATAATTTTGAATAATAGTATAGTAAAATATTACTCTAAAAATATTAAAAAATTCAAACAGTTGTTTTTTTTTTGACTTTTCTTGACGAAATGCTCATATATGATGCGAGGTTCAAATTTGCTTTTCTCAGAATTTCCACCTCACTTCTCTATGTACTCTCCTTTCATCTTACTTTCTTATTCAAAGCACATACACTCAGAACCTTTGCCTCGAAACATGATAGTGGAATTCATAGTAGGTAAACTCCAAAAGGTTAGATTGTATTTTATATTTGTATAATACATTTTACATTGCTCAGGTGGATAAATTAAGTGATTCGAGTCACATTATTTTCCAGTCAACAAGAAATCTACATTCCTCTCATTTGTTCAGTTACTGATAATGAATCAAAATACAAATCAATAATGACAATATCGTAAATCACTTTCTTATCTTAGAAAAAAAATTAAATTCTTGAATATTGTTTTTTTATTTGCATTAAAAGTAAAATTATTTTACTAAAATTATCTTTCGACTTTGAATAAAAATTTTTTTTTTATTTTACAATTATTTTATTTTATAAAAAGCTCATTGAAAATAAATATTGAAAATTGAAATTCAAAAAACGAACCACTCTTGATTTAGAGAAAGAGAATCCGGTTCCAAAAGTGAAATCTTAAAAATCCTACTTTACGCTCAAGGCGTAAACACTTACCTAAAAATTTCTGTCGTTATGGCTGAGAAGTTACTTTTGCAGGCGGAAGGAAATGTCTAAATGCAAAAACCACCCAAAGAGCTCAAACATATTTTTTTTTTTTTTTTCTTTACATTTTCTATATTTTATTTTATTTTTCCATTGGCGCAGAAACTTGAAATGTATTTAATTTTTCAAAATTCGCGTTTTTTTCTCTCTTCATTTTACTATTTGCAATTATGAAATTTAAAATAATTAAATTAAACTAATTAACAGAAATTTAAATTCGATCAAAGAAATTTGAAATTAAAAAAAAATTTATTTCTTTGAAAATTTCTAATAAATCCAAATATTCAAATATATACGCGCATATTCAATATGTAGCATTTGATAATTATTTATGAATATATTTGCCAAAGAGCTTTTTTTGATATCACATTGACATTGCCTATTCGAACAAGCATTCATTTGAGATTTCAATATATTTCGAGTATTCAACTCATCAACAAGCATCGCATATATATATATAAAAAAAAAAAATGAAAAGCAAACAAATTCATGATCAAGAGTATACATAAGGGGAGTCAGTGCAATATTCCGTGATATGAAATTACGCGACGAGACTCGGATATATACACGGAAGTAAAAGAATTCATTGATTATTATTCTTTTTATCGAAATCTTCATATAAAACAAATTTTTATATAAATAAAAATAGAATAAAAAAAAGAAATTCTTTTCTGTGTGCAATTTAAAAAAATTAAAATTCGAACTTCCTTCAATATTTTAATAATAAATGGCAAATTTTTTTTTTGTGTATAATAAATTCTAGTCTAAAAAAAATTGACATTTACTAAAATTTATTATTTGGATAATTATTATTATAATATATTTATTATTTATAACAAAATTACTAAAAAAATTGTGCAATTTAAAAAAATTCGATTCTATTTTATTTTCTTCAATATTAAATTTAGTAATAAATTTTAGTAAATGTCAATTTTTTTTGTGAGTAGAATAAATTATAGTCTCAAAAAAAATTTGCAATTTACTATTTGTTATTTGGATAATTATTATTTATAAAAAAAATTATTAAAAAATTTTGTACGCAATTTAAAAAAATCAAAATTCAATTTTACTTTCCTTCAATATTAAAATTTAATAATAAATTTTAATAAACGGCAAATTATTTAGAGTAGAATAAATTCTAGTTTCAAAAATAATTTTCCATTTACTAAAATTAAATTCAAATTTATTATTTGGATAATTATTATTATAATATATTTATTATTTATAACAAAATTACTAAAAAAATTTGTGCAATTTAAAAAAATTCGATTCTATTTTATTTTCTTCAATATTAAATTTAGTAATAAATTTTAGTAAATTGGGAAATTTTTTTTTTGTGAGTAGAATAAATTATAGTCTCAAAAAAAAATTTGCAATTTACTATTTGTTATTTGGATAATTATTATTTATAAAAAAAAATTATTAAAAAATTTTGTACTCAATTTAAAAAAATCAAAATTCAATTTTTACTTTCCTTCAATATTAAATTTTAATAATAAATTTTAATAAACGGCAAATTATTTCTTAGTAGAATAAATTCTAGTTTCAAAAATAATTTTCCATTAACTAAAATTAAATTCAAATTTATTAATTGGATAATTATTATTATAATATATATTTATTATTTATAATAACAACAAAAATTAATTATTTAAATTTATTATTTATAAATTATAATTTTTTTCTGAAAATAGAATAAATTGTAGTTTAAAAAAAAAAAATTTGCCATTATTAAATTGAGCAAAAAATAACTATTTTTGAAATATCTACCTGAATAGGTAAGTTTGTTCTCCTTGTAGCTGCCATTCATTTGAACATCACCGAGGCCTTGAGAACTTTGTGAACTACTCGACTCATCATCGTCATCGGGAATACTCGAGTGTAGAGTATTGTTTAAGCTACTGTTCAGAGTATTGTTCAATGAACTCAGTCCAAGTGAATTGTTTAATCGAGGACTCAAACGTGCATTTAGAGTCATCGATAGTGGCGATGTTCCAGTAGAGTGCCTGCGTGATTTTCTCCGCTCATGTGAGTCCATCAGGGATTTTCGATTTCGAAGAGTTTTCCTGAAAAATAATACAAAAAAATAAAAATATATAAATGACAAAAGAAACCCCGGAAAAAAAATTACAAACAAAATATAAAATAAATACCTAATATTATCATCAAGTTGTCTAATTGGAAAATCCCTGTCATTACCATCTTCATGATGTAATACGGCTTCATAAATTTGAAATTGTCGAAGAAGATCTAAATCGGTTCCTTGCTTAGACATATATCTTTGGATAATACCCTCAATTCCTTGTTCCTCCAAACAATCAACTTGATCATAATATGTATCCTGATCTGGTATTCCATTTAGACATTTGTTGACAAGTGTTGTTGCATATATAAGTAATTCCGTGTCGGCGGCATCATAATCTTTTAATAATTTCATCACATTGGTCCATGGTATCATTCCTCGTGATGTATCAATGGACCTTATTGCTCTCACTAATAGCAAACTATTTGTCTCAACATATTCAACGAAAACAAGCAATAATTTAAGGGCAGTTTTTACCACCAATCGAAAACGACTAGCGATCAATGTGTACAGCCATTGTACAGTTTGACCATGTTCCATTACTCCATTCATTCCATCCACATAAAGCATCACCTGACCCAGCGCTATAAAAACAAAAAATTTGGAAAATTATCAAAATTTTTTTTAAATATGCAACAATTTGGTTGTAAATTACAAAATTTTTTGAAGAATCATAAAAAAAAAAATTGTTTTCCAAACAATAAACGTTAAATGTTTTACAATCTCGAGAATCGTAAAACAAAAAAAAAATATTCACATTTCTATTTTTACAGCTTTGAAATTGTAAATATTAAATTGAGAAAATATTTTTTCGATTCATGGTAATTTGAATTTAATTTTTTTTTTCCAGCATATGTTGGATTGAAAAAGGATCTTATATTATATGCGATCGTTGATTCGGTTGGCGTATAACCCATACCCATATTCCTTATGAGTAAAGCAAACGCAAAAAAAGGGAAATGCAAGGAAGTTTCTTAGTTCAAGGAGTGTAAGAAAAGTTTTTTGATGGAGTTCATAAGACTGTGGAAATATTCATCTTTCGAACTTGGAATTCAAAAATTATTCAACGCCCTCTAAATCTCAATTGATATGATAGAATTTGAATTGAATTATCAAAAAATGTAGACAATTTTTCAATAAAAAAAAATCTATGAATAGAAAAAAATCCATTATTTCGGGACAAAAAAAAAAAAAAAATTAATAATAATTATTATTAGTAATAGAGAAAAAAAAATTCTTTTAAAATTTTGCTAAATTTTACAATTTCACGCCTTAAAGTGGAATTAAAAGTTTTGTTTTCCGCCAACATGTGTTAATTCTAGCGATTCTAGACACTCCATTTAAAAACGAGCTTTTTTTTTTAAAAAAAAAAAAAAAGAAAACTTGAAAAGATGTTAAAACTCTCATTTTAGTTTTGAGACTTTTACATATACGTATATGAATGCACGTTAAAGCTGAATAAAAATCAAAGCGCATATAATGAAAAGAAACAAGAATAATAGCAACTTTTCATAAGGAGACAGAAAATGTTTAAAATATGAGAAAAGTAAGAATTTTTTTTTCTTTTTTTTTTCTTTTTTAGGAAATGAGTTTCGTTGAATTGAAAAAAGTTTAAATTATTTCAATTAATTTTTTTGTTATTAACCAATTTTTTTCATTAAATATTTTTTTTGAATAATTTTCTTAATTCCAAATAATTAATGAAAAAAAATTATTCCAATTATTATAATTGACATTAATTATTATTTTTTTGACAATTCAACTTTTCAGCAGAAAAATATTAGTGAAATAATAATTCTGTATTAGAAAAAATTTTCATTAAATTGAAAAAAAGTTTAATTAAATTATTTCAATTAATTTTGTTTTCTAAAGAATTTTTTCTTCATTAATTATTGGAATAAAAAAATTATTACACTTGACAATTATTATTATTATTGTATTTTGACAATTACAATATTCTACAAAAAAAATATGAGTGAAATAATAATTATGTCTTAGAAAAAAAAAAAATGTCTTTCATTAAATTGAAAAAAAAAGTTTAATTAAATTATTTTAATTAATTTTTTTTTTCTAAATTAATTTTTTCATTAATTGAAATAAGAAAATTATTCCAATTATTTTGAAAATTACACTTTTCAACAGAAAAATATATGAGTGAAAAAAAAATTCCTTCTAGAAAGGAAAAATTAATTTTAATTAAATCATCATAAAAAAAAAATGATCTGCAAAGTAATTCGGAATGTTCGCGCACCATTTGATTTGAAACAGTTCATTACTAACTATAGGGATCGATTAAGTCATTTCATCTAATCGCACTCTGATTACGTTTGCGTTGACTGCAATGTTTCTCTGGGAACGAGTAGAAAAATATATATATATATAAAAGGATCGAAGGGAAAGGAACTAACTTTCCAGTTCAATCGAACGGAAACTTCCAGTTAATCGGCTTAGATTCGATCACGATTCTCTTGGGATTCTCTATATAGATAAGAGTATACATCAATTAAAACAATTTATAATTTTTTAACTGTAAAAAAAAAATAAAATTTGTCAAATATTTTTCTTAATTTCTTTTTGCTTAAAAAACAATAAATTGTTTTTTTTTAAAACAAATTTGGAAAAATTATTTTTAGAAAAAAAAATTATTGTTGCAAATTAAATTATTATTATTATTATTATATGTGCATCTGGAAATAATTTCAAAGATAACTAATTAAGAAATTACCCTCCATTAATTAACTTCACGTTCTATGTGTGTATAATTAGTAATAAAGTGCATTCATTGTAACATATTATTAAGTCGATCGTAAAACGTTTTAATGATAAACTCGTCAATGAATCTAATTGGGAATATTAAATCTTAATTACATCACTTTGCCAAAAGTTTGCCAATTTTCTTTTTTTTTTTAGAAAAAACTAAAAAAAAAAAAGGAAAATGCTTCTTTAGAAGAATATATCAGCTTTAAAGAAAGAGAATATTATCGCTTCTATAAACAAGAATATATAAAAAAAAATACCATCAACTATAAATCAAATTCAACTTCTAAAGACTTTAAACAAAGAATGCCCCTCATATTTTCTAGAACTCTTGAAAACACTCTTCAGATGAACTGAATTATCAATATAGTTACATTTTGACCCTTTTAAGCCTTACCATTAGGCCTTGGATTATAAAGATTAATTATTCAGAAAGAGAAAAAAAAAATGTTTAAAAACAATAATTTGTTGTTTTTTTTCCAATAAGAAGAACAAGTTTTTGTTTTTAAAGATAATATTTGATAAAACAAAAAAAAAAAGACAATGAAAAATAATTATATCTTTTGTGTTTACTCACCACGTAGTATATAATTTTGGTAATTTTGATCAGCCTCATTGCCAACTTTGATAAGACACGCCAGTCCATCATTTTGTACAAATTCGTGCACCAGATCTTTATCTTCCTGTAAGAAATGAAAATTTAGATTAAATTTTTTTTCTTTTTATTTCTATTAATATTAATAATAATAATTAAAAATTATTTTTATTTTCATAATTCAAAAAAATGGATAAGAATTAATTTTTACACAAAATTATTTCTAGATTTAGATTAAATTTTTTTTTTTATTTCTATTAATATTAATAATAATAATTAAAAATTATTTCTATTTTCAAATTTAATAAATTGATAAGAATTAATTTTTACACAAAATTATTTCTAGATTTAGATTAAATTTTTTTTTTATTTCTATTAATATTAATAATAATAATTAAAAATTATTTTTATTTTCATAATTCAAAAAAATGGATAAGAATTAATTTTTACACAAAATTATTTCTAGATTTAGATTAAAATTTTTTTTTTATTTCTATTAATATTAATAATAATAATTAAAAATTATTTTTATTTTCATAATTCAAAAAAATGGATAAGAATTAATTTTTACACAAAATTATTTCTATTTTCAAAATTCAATAAATTGATAAGAATTAATTTTTACACACATTCATTTCGAGAGATAGAGAGACTCGTATATATAGTGAAATTTAGTTCAATCAGTTTGCGACGGAATATTTGATTATTAATATTCAATTTCGCTTCTTAATCCAGAATCTAATATGGAGTTTGTGCGCACGTATAACCGATTGCATAGAGCAAGCATTTCCGTCTCTGGATGAATTTACAGTGTGAAATCGTTTGAATTGCGAGATTCGGAAAACGTGGTTTTAATCAAACATTATATATATATATATATATATATGTCGGATTTTCCATTATATTGTAAGTTTGAGTGCAATCATACAACTAATTTAATTTGCTCTACAGATATGTATACAATGATTTAAAAAAAAAAAAAAAAAATCCAATTGGCAGTAGCTGGAAAATTTTTTTAAATTTACTTGATTACAAATTCAATTCAAATAAAATATAAATCTGTTATTCAGATCAGTTTCAATTGAATCAAAATTTGCCTATAATTCAATAAGAAATACTTTTCGAATAATTTCGAATCAATCGATTTAATTCGGAAACTGAATTTTAATTCAATTGAATTTAATTTATTTAAATTGTTATTTTCTGATTTTCAATAAAAAATTTAAATTCAGTTTTGAAATTAAACGAATTGAATTCGAAAAGAATTTTTTTTTTTTTACAATTTGGATGGAAATTAATTCGTTTCAAAAAACAAATTTTGGAATGCCTTTGAATAATATTGCATGAATTTCTCATATAGAAATTATTAATTAGAATTTAAAGAATTTAAAAAGAGTTTAAAGAATTTTAATAGAAAATTTTTATAGACAAATTATTATTTTCGAATTTCGATATAGAATTTCATTTTTATACGAATTTTTCCTTAAGAAAATTTTTTTCCCTCGAATTTTAGTTTGGCAAAATTTTTTATTTTTCAATAATTTTTTTTTTCCTTTTTTATATAAAAGAATTTTAATTTAATTTTTAAACATAATTCTCATTAAATCGAATTTTTTAATGACAGAAAATTACAATTCACCGAATTTTTATGTATATGAATTTTTATTTCTACGAATTTTAATTTGTCCGAATTTTTATTTGTACGAATTTTTAATTGATAGAGAATTTTTAAGACGCCGAATTTCCATTTGTCCGAAATTACAAATAACCAAAACAAACAATCGACAGAAAAATTTTGGCGCAATTTTTAAAAAAATTCACCAATTTAGTAATTATCAAGAAAAGCGTTTGTTCGGCAATTTTTGTAATTTTGGACAAATGAAAATTCGTCGTCTTAAAAATTCGTACAAATAAAAAATCGAACAAATTGAAATTCGTATAAATTAAAATTCGGACAAATTTAAATTCGGTGAATTGGAATATTTTTGTCATTTAAAAATTCGAATTACATAAAATTCGCGGCCTTTTTTTTCTTATAATTTTGGACAAATAAAAATTCGGCGTCTTAAAAATTCGTAAAAATAAAAAAAATCGGATAAATAAAAATTCGAACAAATTAAAATTCAGATAAATTGAAATTTCGCTGATTTAAAAATATGAATCACAAAAAATTCGAATTAATGAAAATTCTGCTAAATTAAAATTCTTTTAATAAAAAAAATTCATGTAAATTAAATGACTGTATAAAATAAAAATTCTGGCAAAAATTCGGTAGCTAAAATTTTTTTTAAATTAAAAATTGAGTATAAAATGAATTTCTATATCGAATGCTAATTCGAAAAATGAAAATTTCGCGTGTAAAAAATAATTATTTCTAATGTAAATTTTTTTAAAATGAAAATTATAATTAATGATTGAACTTAAATTGAAAATTTTTCTTTAGAAACATTTTAATCACTAAAATTAAAAAAAAAAAAAGTAACAAAAATATGAACTTACCTGAAAGATTTGCTTAAGGGAGAAAAGAGCTCGTCTGAGTTCGCGACCCTCGCTGTTCAGTAATTTTTCTGCAACAAACAAGCGAACAAAACCATTTATTATACATTTTTAGTAATAGAACTGATCATATATAAGTACTGTTATTTAAGTTTTGTAAAATACAATGTTTCATAATCATTTAAATGGTTTTTATTATTTTTCAAAAAAAAAAAAAAAAAAAAGATTTTTGAACTCTGCAATAGTTTTTGTTATGCATTATTTATATAATTGTTATTTATTATTATATTTATAATTATATTTATAATTATATTTATAATTATATTTATAATTATATTTATAATAATATTTATAATTGTTTATTATAATAAATATTTTATATATATATTTTTTTTTTGTTATAATTCATTAAGAGCATTTGAACCTTCGTGACGTCACAAATCATGGCGCATGACACGCAAACTTCTCAGGTATGTGAAAAGCACAATTTTGAATATTTTTTAAAAAAACCTTTTGGAAAATGTTCAGAATAACATAGACTCTGTCTGTCATGTGCGGAAAATTCAAAATTTTGCGTTTAAAACGTTTTTTAAACAATGTTAAGGTCACAAATCATGGCGCATGACACGCAAACTTCTCAGGTATGTGAAAAACACAATTTTGAATATTTTTTAAAAAAACCTTTTGGAAAATGTTCAGAGAAACATAGACTATGTCTGTTATGTGCGAAAAATTCAAAATTTTGCGTTTAAAACGTTTTTTAAACAATGCCTACATATAAGCAATTCGTGTATTTTTCCTTACTTGTGACAACCAACTTAAACATTGTTTAAAAAACGTTTTATACGCAAAATTTTGAATTTTTCGCACATAACAGACATAGTCTATGTTATTCTGAACATTTTCCAAAAGGTTTTTTTAAAAAATATTCAAAATTGTGCTTTTCACATACCTGAGAAGTTTGCGTGTCATGCGCCATGATTTGTGACGTCACGAAGGTTCAAATGCTCTTAAAACTCGATTTCTATCCGCTTTTACTCCGGCCAATATTTATTATAGTCATGACAGAACTCTTTGACAGTCGATTTACTATTATACACGGGTTACATAAGTTCACATTGGGTGACTTATGACGTTGTTGGAAAAGAATGTCAGTATCCTTTCAACATTGAATTAAAAAGTCGCAAGTTCATTCATTGTTTCAGGTTTCCATAAATTGTTGCATTTTAAGACACAAAAAAAATTTAAAAATATATATATATACATTTATTAAAATACTCCATATACACATTAGCAAATGTTTTGCAATCAGTTTTTTTTATCCATTTAACTGAAAACCTTTTGTAACCCAATCATACACCAAAAAAAAAAGAGAGAATTTAAAAATATTTATGAGAACAAAAAAAACATTCTGATTTAGAAATGTTTTTTAGATGCGGAATTTTTGAAGTTAGAATTTTTGATAATTTCCTAAAAAGGAAAGGAAATAGTGAAGAAAGATATTTTGAAAATTGTTTTCAATAATAAAATACAATAAATTTGACATTAGAAAAAAATCTTTTTTAAAATTTTAATTATTATTCTAAAAGTGTTTTTTTTTTTTTTACTTGAAGATGATACAAACGTTATTGGTATCAAAATCAGTATTTTTCCTGCGCAGTGAAAAAAAAAAATTTTATTTGACTCAAATAATTGGTTACTTGATTCAAATAAATATTTACTTGGATCAAATAATTTTTGAAACATATTTTGAAACCAAATAATATTGAATTAAATAAACTGTATTTCAACCAATAATTCCTCTATTTCCCCCCATATTTTGTTTATTTCTATGTTTAAAAATCAAAAATAGACTGAAAAAGAAAAATTTATTTAATTCAAATAAATCTTTACTTGAATCAAATAAATATTTACTTGCCTCAATTAAATATTTACTTGAACCAAATAATTTTGAAACCAAATATTTGTATTAAAATGGAAATAATTTTTATTTTTCCTATATTTAGATAACCCTCTATTTTTTTCAAAAATACATTGAAAAAAATTTATTTAATTCAAATAAATCTTTACTTGAATCAAATAAATATTTACTTAACATCCAGAAAAATGTTTTATTTGAATCAAATATAATATATTTGAATTAAATAAACGTATATTTGTCTGAAAGCCTACACTAGCCTATTTATTTGGCGTAAATAAATTTTTTTAATTAAATCAAATAAAAATTTATGTGAATTAAATAAAAATTTATTTGAATCATATAAATATTTATTAGACTGTGAGACAAATATATCATTTCTCGGGTGAAATAAATATTTACTTGAACCAAATAATTTCGAAACCAAATAATATTGAATTAAATAAACTGTATTTCAACCAATAATTTCTGTATTTAAAACAAATATCATCTTCAAATTAATTATTTGATACAAATAAATATTTATTTGATATAAATAAATATTTATTTGATATAAATAAATATTTATTTGATATAAATAAATATATTTATTTGATAATAGTAAAGTAACTGATTATATATTTGAATCAAAATAAATTTTTTTTTTTTTCATGAAGAAAATTATTTCTACTAAAATAAAATAATGTAAATAAAATTTCAAGTGAATGAAAAAAAAAAATGTTTTTTCACTTTCAACATATATCCCAAAATTGTTTTGCGTAAATGATAGACAACCTCACCTCATTACCATTCCCATCTACCATGACTTATTCATTTCGCACGAGTAACAAATGACTGCGGTACAATTCTAGCGCTATATATATATAAAAGAGAATAATATATAAATTTTGGTCACCGGGGAGAATTCAATAGCGACGTATGAATTTGCCCCAATCACTAATAAGAGAAGCCAAGGTAAGTAGCTCACGGCCAATAATAATAACAATATTCAAAATCAATATTACTCCCCATTGTTAGATAACATTGGCTAACAATATTGCTTCTTGCCTGTATGGATTTAATCAAAGATCAAAATCTACCGGATCCTTCAAAAAAAAAAAAAAATTTAAATAAAGTTTTTCTAAATCGATAACAAAAAAAAATTTATTTGATTCAAATAATCGATTACTTGACAAAAATAAATAATTACTTGAACCAAATAATTTTTGAGTAAATTTTTTTTTTTTAAATACAGAAATTATTGATTTAAATACAGTTTATTTAATTCAATTATTTGGTTTCGAAATTATTTGGTTCAAGTAAATATTTATTTCACCCAGAGAAATGATATATTTGTCTTACAGCCTAATAAATATTTATATGATTCAAATAAATTTTTATTTGATTTAATTAAAAAAATTAATTAAAATAATTTATTAAAAAAAAATTTTTTTAATAAAGTTTTTCTAAATCGATAACAAAAAAAAATTTATTTGATTCAAATAATCAATTACTTAACTAAAATAATTAATTACTTGAACCAAATAATTTTTGAGTCAAATTTTTTTTTAATACAGAAATTATTGATTTAAATACAGTTTATTTAATTCAATTATTTGGTTTCGAAATTATTTTGTTCAAGTAAATATTTATTTGGTTTAGGTAAATATTTATTTGAGTCAAGTAAATATTTATTTCACCCAGAGAAATGATATATTTGTCTAACAGCCTAATAAATATTTATATGATTCAAATAAATTTTTATTTGATTTATTTAAAAAAATTAATTAAAATAATTTATTAAAAAAAAATTTTTTTAATAAAGTTTTTCTAAATCGATAACAAAAAAAATTTATTTGATTCAAATAATCAATTACTTAACTAAAATAATTAATTACTTGAACCAAATAATTTTTGAGTCAAATTTTTTTTTAATACAGAAATTATTGATTTAAAAACAGTTTATTTACTTCAATTATTTGGTTTCGAAATTATTTGGTTAAAGTAAATATTTATTTGGTTTAAGTAAATATTTATTTGAGTCAAGTAAATATTTATTTCACCCGAGAAATGATATATTTGTCTCACAGTCTAATAAATATTTATATGATTCAAATTAATTTTTATTTAATTCACATAAATTTTTATTTGATTTAATTAAAAAAATTTATTTACGCCAAATAAATAGGCTAGTGTAGGCTTTCAGACAAATATACGTTTATTTAATTCAAATATATTATATTTGATTCAAATAAAACATTTTTCTGAGTGTTAAGTAAATATTTATTTGATTCAAGTAAAGATTTATTTGAATTAAATACATTTTTTTCAATGTATTTTTGATAAAAAATAGAGGGTTATCTAAATATAGGAAAAAAAAAAATTATTTCCATTTTAATACAAATATTTGGTTTCAAAAATTATTTGGTTCAAGTAAATATTTAATTGAGGCAAGAAAATATTTATTTGATTCAAGTAAATATTTATTTGATTCAAGTAAAGATTTATTTGAATTAAATAAATTTTTCATTTTCAGTCTATTTTTGATTTTTAAACATAGAAATAAACAAAATTTGGGGGGAGGGGGCGGCGGGTACAGATTTTAATAAAAATAAATTTGCCCCCCCCCCAAAAAAGGGGGAAAATAAAAAGATCACGTAAGACTGATCAATTATAAAATGATATAGGAGAGGATGTATGGAGTTTCTCCTTGGCAGCTACGGGACGTGCAGACAATTCATACATTCTTTTTTTCTGGTTAACTGCAACGTGTAGGAAGTGAAGAATGGAATATAGCATGATATAGCAGCTAGGTTATGGAGAGAACGAGGTGGCGGGAACCGTTAAAATATGTAAAATGACATAGACTCCTACAGTCTTTCTCTCTCTCTCTCTCTCTCTCTCTCTCTCTCTCACTTTTTGTACCTCCCTTTCTCTTTTTGTGCGCACGCAGCCTCCCTCAATCTCTCTCTCTTTCCTTTATCACCTCTTCCTGACTTTCCTTTCCTTTTTTTTCTTCATCTTCTTTTTCTTTTTTTTTTTTTTTTTTTAATACGTCCGAACCTTCGTTCGATTATATTTCCCTCTTCGCGGTTCAATGAACGCTACACAACAATCAGCACACAAAAATGCTCAATGGATTTAATTATTTTCAACTCTAATTTATGCAATAATTCAATTAATAATATATAATATATATGTTACCTCTGTATATATCTATACACTAAGTTAAATTAATTATTATCTGAGGTTTCAATTTTAGAAAGTTACGGATTATCTCCTGCAAAATTTAAATAAGGGAAAAAATTAATAATTTACTTTTAAAGAGATTTATTTATTTATTTATTCGAATTTTTATTTGTCCGAATTATTTATTTAAGAGAAATTATATTTAACCGAAATTAAAATCAGAACCGAAATAAGTTGAGAATTTTAAATTTAATCGAATTTTCATTTTATAAACTTTTTATTTCATCGAATTTGCAATTTGTACGAATTTTTATTTGTCCGAATTTTTTATTTTTATAGAAATTACATTTAATCGAAATTAAAATGAGAATTTTAATTTAAACAAAATTTTCATTCTACGAACTTTTTATTATAATTGAATTTACATTTGTTGGAATTATTTATTTAATTGAAATTACATTTAACCAAAATTAAAATAAAGGAACCAAAAATGATTGAAATTTCAATTCACCAAATTTTAATTTGTACGAATTTTTATTGGCCGAACAAACATTCGATTTTGTTACTACTTTTTAAAATTCTACCAATTAAAAATTTGGCGTCTTAAAAATTCTATATGAATTAAAAATTCGTACAAATAATTATTCGGCGTCTTAAAAATTCGGATAAATGAAAATTCGGCTTTTTTAAAATTCGTACAAATAAGAAATTTGTACAAAATAAAAATTCAGACAAATGAAAACGTGGCATTTTCAAATTCGTACAAATGAAAAATTCGTACAAATAACAATTCGGACAAATAAAAATTCGGACAAATGAAAATTCGGCGTTTTTAAAATTCTATCAATTAAAAAATTTGTACAATTAAAATTTGGCGTCTTAAAAATTCTATATGGATTAAAAATTCGTAAAAATAATTATTCGGCGTCTTAAAAATTCGGACAAATGAAAATTCGGCTTTTTTAAAATTCTACCAATTAAAAATTTGGCGTCTTAAAAATTCTATATGAATTAAAAATTCGTACAAATAATTATTCGGCGTCTTAAAAATTCGGACAAACGAAAATGTGGCATTTTCAAATTCGTACAAATAAGAAATTTGTACAAAATAAAAATTCGGACAAATGAAAACGTGGAATTTTCAAATTCGTACAAATGAAAAATTCGTACAAATAAAAATTCGGACAAATAAAAATTCGGACAAATGAAAATTTGGCGTTTTTAAAATTCTATCAATTAAAAAATTTGTACAAATAAAAATTTGGCGTCTTAAAAATTCTATATGGATTAAAAATTCGTAAAAATAATTATTCGGCGTCTTAAAAATTCGGACAAATGAAAATTCGGCTTTTTTAAAATTCTACCAATTAAAAATTTGGCGTCTTAAAAATTCTATATGAATTAAAAATTCGTACAAATAATTATTCGGCGTCTTAAAAATTCGGACAAATGAAAATTCGGCGTTTTTAAAATTCTACCAATTAAAAATTCGTACAAATGAAAATTTGGCGTCATAAAAATTCTATGAAATTAAAAGTTTGTACAAAAATTAAAATTCGAACAAATTAAAAATCGGGAATTGTATAATTTCTGTCGATTGTTCCTTCGGTCATTTGTATACTTTCGGACAAATTAAAATTCGGTGAATTGGAATTTCGGTCATTTAAAAATTCGAATCATAGAATATATTCGATTAAATGAGAATTCTGTTAATTAAAAATTGGATTAAATTAAAATTTTCTTCAAATAAAAATTTCTATAAAGAAAATGAAAATACAAAATTCAGGCAAAAATTCGGTAGCTAAAAATTTTATTATGTAAATATTTTTATAAAAAGAAAATCTCAAATTTTAATTTAAAAATTCATCTAATAAATAATTATTTAATATATATAATTAATATTAATATTAAAATAATATATTATTTAATAATTATTCTGCACATGTTAGTGAATTCAGAATAAAAAATGTGTTACGTCTTTTGTTAAAGAAATTAAAGAAATTTTTCATTTTAATATTGATAATGAAAAATACAGAAGACTACTTTTCACAATTAGAATAATTGTAATTCACTATGTACCTTTTTTTTATATATATATATATATAATATATAATGAAACACAATTGATTTCTCATTTCATTTTCATTGTGTATCATTCTCTCCCTGGTGAGGTGCTTTACACGCACTGTTACACTCGAGCGACTTTTGCCGCAGGTTAATCGAGCGATTGAGTTTACATCAAGGGCGAACACGAATCATGTAAACAAGAAGCAACCGAGAATAAAGTTGTTGTAAACTCAACAACAAAAACAGAAGCAAAACAAACAAGAATGACATTGTCAAATTATTTTCTAAATTTTTATATTAAAAAAAAAAAATATATAATTATTACTTTTTAATGAGGAGAGTTTTGTTTAAATATACTATAATAAACGTGTGTATATTCTCAGACTAGATTTAAAAGAAAAAGGGTCACTGGGGTAAAAAAAACATATATATATATATATAGTATGATAAATACATATAGAATGTACTCACCTATGATGGTGTGAACTCGTACGGATAGCTGGGTCCTGAGAACGATTGAGTTCTTTCGGCTGAAACAGAAAGAAGAACGGCCAAGTTCACACACAAGCTCGTTTACTATATTGACTCTCGTGCAAGAGCCTTATAAGAAGTACATAAGTTAAGATCCTGCTTTTAAATATTTACAAGATACTGGCCTCTCGACGTTATCCAAGAAAACTCCCGTTGCTCTTGCAGTATAAATCGAGAATTTACTGTTCATAAATGTCCTGCAACCCGTATCTTTTAACTCGTTTTAAGACACGAGCTCTAGCTGTCAATTTCTCTCTATTTTTCATATCCTTTCAACAATTTTTCGATATTGAACAAAATTTACTATAAGTGCGAAATCACGGCCCAATATTGGCAAAACTGGCATCGAACCTTGACGTAAAATACTGTTCCGATTTTAGTCTTAAGCGCGGATAGACCTCGGTAGCCATTACTGGCCCAATCTTGGCTGCCATTACTGACCCAATCTTGGTTGCCATTATAGGGCCAGTATTGGCAAAACTGGCACCGAGTCTTGACGGAAAATGCTGGTCCGATTTTAGTCTTAAGCGCGGATAGACCTCGGTAGCCATTACTGGCCCAATCTTGGCTGCCATTACTGACCCAATCTTGGTTGCCATTATAGGGCCAGTATTGGCAAAACTGGCACCGAGTCTTAACAAACAATACTGGTCCGATTTTAGTCTTAGGCGCGGATAGACCTCGGTAGCCATTACTGGCCCAATCTTGACTGCCATTACTGGCCCAGTATTGGCAAAACTGGCACCGAGTCTTGACGGAAAATGCTGGTCCGACTTTAGTCTTAAGCGCCAGATAGACCTCGGTAGCCATTGCTGGCCCAATCTTGGCTGCCATTATAGGGCCAGTATTGGCAAAACTGGCACCGAGCCTTGACGTAAAATACTGTTCCGATTTTAGTCTTAAGCGCGGATAGACCTCGGTAGCCATTACTGGCCCAATCTTGGCTGCCATTACTGACCCAATCTTGGTTGCCATTATAGGGCCAGTATTGGCAAAACTGGCACCGAGTCTTGACGGAAAATGCTGGTCCGATTTTAGTCTTAAGCGCGGATAGACCTCGGTAGCCATTACTGGCCCAATCTTGCCTGCCATTATAGGGCCAGTATTGGAAAAACTGGCACCGAGTCTTGACGAACAATACTGGTCCGATTTTAGTCTTAAGCGCGGATAGACCTCGGTAGCCATTACTGGTCCAATATTGGTTGCCATTACAGGCCCAGTATTGGCAAAACTGGCACCGAGTATTGACGAACAATACTGGTCCGATTGTTGTAGTGTTAAGCGCGGCTAGACGTCAGCAGCCATTACTGCCCCAATCTTGGCTCCCATTACTGGCCCAGTTTTGGCAAAATTAAAAAAATAATAATAATTATTAACTAATTATTTCATAATACATTTATAACACAGGTTCTAAAAGAAAACACAATTTTTGTAAACATTTAAAAAATTTCTAATCCTGGTGGGGTGAGAAATGCCCAATATTGGCCCAGTATTGTCTCCCGTATTACGGAGAATATTACTTGGTCAGTATTGGCAAGCAATTCGTTTAATAACTGAGCTTAAATTGTCATGGATGGAGTATTGAATCTATTTTGACAAATCATCTTTTCCCAATGATAAAATGAATCTCGGCTCCATAATGGCGCAGCAATGGCGGAAGTGTTTAATCTTTAGCGGCATATATTATCTTTTCTACTTATGAGACGAATCTCGGCTCAATAATGGTGGAAGGAGGGACGAATTGTTGAATCTATTATGGTGAATTCTTTTCGCCAATGATGAAACGAATCTCGGCTCCATAATGGCGCAGCAATGGCATAAGTGTTTAGTCTTTTGTGGAAAATGAGACGAATCTCGGTACAATAATGGCGCAACGAGGGCCGAAGTATCGAATCTATTATGGTAAATTCTTTTCACCAATGATGAAACGAATCTCGGCTCCATAATGGCGCATCAATGGCGGAAGTTTTAAACCATTTTGCGTCAAATTACCTGCTTTTCTAATAATGTGACAAATCTTGGCCCAATAATGGCAGAAGTTTGGAAAATTAAAATTTCCAAAAATCGGTCCAGTAATGTGACGAGTATTGTCAGCGTCAATACTGGCGCAGTAACAATTACCATAATTGAACCAATATTATGGCCAATGTTGGGCCACATTTGCAGTCCAGCATGTTTAGCACATGGGATATTTTGTCTATTAATTTGAATAATGTATAAATCATGTTGGGTTGCGGCACAACGTTTGATATATATATATAACAATTAAGAAACACTTGATGCGTTAAGAGGAGTAAACTAATCAGTATATTGAGCTTAAAACGACAGATTCTTGTTTGTCGCTGTTGGCTATAAGCTGGAAGGCGAAAACCAAGTTTAAACTTCAAACTCCTGTGAACCTTCCCACGAGCTCACGAGTCCCTGAGAAACTATGGCGACCAAGACAATGGATTTGTGAAAAAAAAGAGGAGTACGCAAAGGAAAAAGAAGGGAGAGAGAAAGAGAGAGAGAAAGAGATACGTCCGATAAGGATAGAAGTCTTGTATAGACCTCAAGCGAACAACTTGGGACTTTAAAAAGATAGTGAAGAAGAGGTATATATATATATAAAAAAAGATGGTGCCTGCGTGTTAATAATGTTTCCGCTCGTAAATGAGAGCTGAGTCGTATGTGTACACAGGGAACAGTAATTTACTCGCTATATATTTTCTCGTACAAAACAATGTTTTCTTCTTTCATTTCTTCGAATATCCATTGAACCTCCTAGCAAAATTCTTTTATCGTGAAAGATTTTATGGCTTTTACATGCGTCAAAACGCAAGAGGTGAAATTATATTAAAAAAAAAACTAAATGCGAATAAGGCCAAGTTCATTGTTTTTCTTTCTATTTGCACAAAACATTACAAATAACAACAACAATTTAATAAATCTAATAACTTAATCTTTTAATAAACTTAATTGGTCATTAATCAAATTTAATTTAATAATAACTCTTTAATTTCTATTAATCGGTAATACATACAGTCAAATCTGCATTATCATTAATCGGTAAAACAGTAAAAATCTGCATTACCATTAATCGGTAAAACAGTAAAAGTCGACATTACCATTAATCGGTAAAACAGTAAAAATCTGCATTACCATTAATCGGTAAAACAGTAAAAATCTGCATTACCATTAATCGGTAAAACAGTAAAAGTCTACATTACCATTAGTCAGTTAAACAGTAAAAGTCTGCATTACCATTAATCGGTAAAACAGTAAAAATCTGCATTACCATTAATCGGTAAAACAGTAAAAAAAATCGATATTACCATTATAATCGGTAAAACAGAACTATTTCAATCAATAAAAGTAGAATTCAACTAATTTTTTTTTAGTGAAATATAACTGAATTTGAGTGGAAATTTTACTGAAATAATTTAGTTTGCTAAATTCCAATTATTTCATCAGTGAAATCTCGCACTAATCAGCAAAAATTTAGAGTGTATATTGAGGGAATAATAAATCGATAGGAATAAATTAACAATTTTTAGATATAAAATCAAGTCTTAATACCGCTCTCTGTCTCCAAAGGATATATATATATATATATAAGCGCATGATCTTAATCTTTCTTCATTGATGTTACTTTATCGTTTTAAGATAAATATATATATAATACCACATTACTAAAACGTTATCTCAAAAATTTTAAAATTCTCTAACAAGAGCACATGATGTAACCATTATTAGCGACATACTAAAATAGTTACAATTATATAGTTCACATTGGGATAACGATTTTCATGTATAAAATAATGTTTAACATGGACTCTCAACTTTCTAAATTGTGCGATTTTTTTTTTTTTTATAAAATCGTTATAAATATTTAGTGTGACTTAATTCTCACGATGCTTCAGTTTAATTTATCAGCTAAATAAATTCATTGAAATTTTAAATTATTACTAATTAATTATGCTACATAATTATTATCACATTATTATTATTATAATTATTATTATTATTATCATATTATTATTATTATTATTATTATTATTATTATTATTATTTTTACAATTATTATAAATATTATTTATAATATTTAATTCATAAATTGCAAAAAAATGTCCTTTCAGAAAAAGTAAATTTTTTTCTTTAACGACTTTGAAGAAAATAATATACATAAAAAAAAAAAAAAATCTTTGCTATTTTTCTCACAGAAAAAGTGTGGAATTTTCAAGAAAGTGAACGAAAATAAACGTCTCTTTGAACAAACTAAAAATACAGTGAAAACATTTCAATTGTTTTCAAGTCTTTTCATTTTCTCAGTATATATATATATATGCGTGTATATCTGTTTTTTTTTTGTTATAGTTTCGCGCACATTTTCATTTCTATTAAAATTCTTTAAAGTAATTTAATTCTTGTTTTTATAATAATTTTAATTATCTATAGTAATTGTTATTATATTTTTTTTAATATATTATTTTTCAAAAATCACTTATGAAATAAAAAAAAATAAATAAAATCGAAATTGCATCTCATTTTGCAAATATATCTTTAATCAAAATTTATTAACGATGACATGAAACTTCACTTGTCTAATAATAATAATGAAAATTCAATTTTGAGAAAAAAAAAATTATGTCAATTTATCAAACAATTATTATTATTATTATTATTATTTTTTTATTATTAAAAGAGGCATTATTATCGTTATATAAAGACATTATTTTAATCGGTTTATAGAGTATAATAAACGAGGATATGTTGGTATAATCTTTTCAATTCACAAAAATGAAATATAATATTTCAAGTGAAATTAGTCAACATTAGAAGTTTTTTTTTTTTTTTTAATGTTGCACCCTCTCTTCGAATACCAAGTTCATTTCTCTCTTTTTCTCCCTCTCTCGTGTATTTTTATAACTTTTAAATCTTTTGATGCCGCCGTACCCATATTTTATACTTTATAGTTTGAGCTCTTTAGAAACCTAAATGACTTTCTTTTTTATCATCT